CACTGTGATCAGTCCAGAGAAGCGCTTGTAGGTTACAATGACAGGCCAGCTTGCCTCAGTCAGGCTGGCTGAGCCAGCATGAACCGAGGTCAGTGGTTATTAATCATTTGTCAAAGTCTGCAGGGATTTATCAGATAATTATAGTTATAAGTACGTTTATATCACACAAACATGTGGCAAGGCTGCAAAGGATTCAAGCCCTAACACAATCTGCAATGGCATTTTAAAAAACTACAGATAAGTGATAAATCATAAAGGAAACACTTCAGAAAGAAAACCATGTCATTCATGACTGGGCAGTCTAGAATTATTTTCTATATTGTTTATTTCCATAAATATTTAGAAACCTTACAGAGCCTTTGAGTACTTTCCCTCCACCCCCTAATTTTCCAATAAGTTGTAAAAATAGCAAGTGTAATCGTCATTTGAAATGAAAGACTGGTTATCGACTCCATCCATATCAACAGACAACCAGAATGTAATCACAGCTTACTTTATAAAACCTTTTCCCGAGCAAAAGTATCTCAAGCTGTTCTGAAGAATCTACATAAACACATAAATAGATGTGCCTAAGGAGCAGCTCTGAACCCCACCAACCAATAGACGGCACTTTAAAATAAATGACTTAAGGCCGTAAACAGCATCCATTTTGTTCAGTTTGGCAGAATATAAGTTTATATTCTAGGAAACATTTCTCAACATGAATGAACTCTGAAATTGTTTCTTCCTTCCCAACACTCCTCTAAATTGTATTAGATTTTGTTAGCCGTTTCTGCATCTTGTCATAGAGGCTGTCAGTGCCCCATGAGACAGTGTGGGTAGATAGACACTGGAGGCAAGGGCCCCAGCATCTGAGATGCTGCCTAAATCTCAGTCAGCATGTTAGGCCAAAATAATGGGAAGCGTCACCCCCAAGCCTACCAATGCAAGGGGAAATGGCCTTGTTGCCAAGTCTAGACACACAAGGGAATGTGATGAGATGAACCATGTGTATTTCAATCCCTAGATTGTAAACTTCTCAGGAAATCATTACCATTGTATCCTACCTCTAGCCAGTGTCAAGCGTTGCCCTGTGAGTGCAAGTGAAACCTTTCAATCTGAGGAACACAATGAATGAATATATGAGGTGTTTCAGCTGTTTTCATCCTAGAGCCTACTTTTCAAAACCCAAATGTGCCTGCTTCATGGACTGCATACTATCTTTAATCGTCAACACATAAAACTAAGAAGGTAATTATGGTGCATAAACTAAAAATCTTTCCAGAATAAAATGTAAATAAAACACTTCAGAGATATTGGTTGTTCTGTTACATTAATAACGTTTATGAAAAATTGACTAAATATGTACATATGCAGGTATGAGTATATATAATTTAAAAATATTAGGTTCTTAGGTCTCTGGAGTAGTTGCAGATATTTCATTGAAGCTAGTGTGGCCCCTTCACCTCCCAAAGGGCACCATCATTCTCTCCTTTCAATGGACCTGCAAACACAGGTGTCCCCCATCCCCAACATGTTTGCATTACTTTGTTCAGGAAATCAAGAGCCTACTGTTTCTCATGTATTGTTCAGAGCTTCTGCATACCAAACTTTCAATAAGATTCAGGTTGGATGCTTGTTTATGCAAAGGGGTAGACTTAGAGACTTATCTTTTCTTCTTCTTCTTTTTTTTTTTTAGTATTCATTATCAGTATCTTTCAACTTTAAAGTTTAATTTTAAAGTTCTGTATTTTAGGGTCTAAAACATGGGATAGAGTAATTTTTAAGAAATATAATAAATACAAATCTTAAGAACCATAGCTTTCAATTTTAAGTTAAATTACATGTATTACATGATTCAATTTATCCCATTTTTATAGATGATCTATGCTGACCTCATAATTTTATCATCTTCTTTATTTATGGCTCAATAATGCCTTTCTGCCAATTCTCCAAACTGCTGGATTTATGAGCCAAGAGCCAAGCTGTTTTTGAACAGCTATATAATAATTTTCTAGGAAACTGGTGGATAACCTGATGGAAAATAGGGTTGGTGGCATTTTACTTTTTTGCTTTAAAAATAATTGGCTTTTAATTTTATTGTGTAAAAATATAAATACATTCTTCCTAAATGAATGAACACTTACTTTGTTAAGTAAAATATATTGTCTGTTTAGCTGATGAATTTTCTTATATTCTGTCTTTGAGAATCAAATTTTGAAAGGGATATTTAAAATCACATACTGCCACATCTACTTAATTAATTAAGTAATTAAACAATTAATCAATCCAATATTATGAGGTATGTTTTCTATGTAGGGCAGTGTTCCCTTCAATAGTGGAACTGGTTTTACTATGTAATAGCTTATAATGAGTCTCATCGAAGTCACAGAATCATAAATCTGGAAGTGACCTGAGAGAGCTTATAAAATCCAAATCCTTTCCTTTACACATGAGGGTGTTCTTATTGTTAGATGAGGTCTGGACAGGTTGGGAGGCTTGTCTGAGATCATATACGGGGTTAGTAGCAGAAGTAGGATAAAAATTAGGTCCTCTTTTTCCTTTTGTTGAAACAAAATACTTCACTTTCTAACATCACTTTCTATTACTCTCATTTACTCAGACTACAAGTCCTGACTTTGTTGTTATTAGGACCAAAGTTGGATTTCCAGTTACTTTGAAAATTTATTCTTATATAGATAAAGTGTTTTTTGGTCAAATCTAGATGGGCTGCAAGATTGCAAGAGACATGTTCACATATCAAGAGATAACTAAATTGAAGAACGTTTAAATACCTTTTTATATATATTGAAATTATAATCTCAATTTTCAACTCATTATTATCTATTGATGATAATGACAATTCCCCCTACTAGATAACATGCAAGAATGACTAGATCAGGCATATGGACCAGGAACACTTGGAAGAAATTATTAATAAAGAACACTTACTCTTCCTATGTCATTAATATTCTGGGCCCCATTAAAAGTCCTATAAACTATGTAGGTGGTCTCCTGATAGCCATGTTAGTTTTATATGGCTTGGTTGGCTCTTCATTGCTGATTGGACCAGAAGTGAATACTTAGCCCAAGCCAGGCCAATTACATTCTCTCTCCTGGAAAGCAGGAATTGGGATTCAGACATAGACTGTCAGCCTTGGCATGTACTTTGAACTGTAATGTGTAAACCCAAGACAGCCATATGTGACGGGAAGCAGAGAAAGCTGGAGCTTAGAGTGAAGAATGGAGCAGACAGGAAGAAGCAGGCGGAGGTGCAGTGAAGATACTGTTTGCCTGCCTCTCAGCTTTCTAGTCCCTAGTTTCAGGTCCCTCCTGAGACCGGGCTGCCTTTGGCTTCCAGAATACAGCCCTGTATCCTTACTTAACGAAGCCCTCCCATCTGTCTGTCTCTTTTTGTCTTTCTCCCTTTCTCTTCTCCTTCTCCTCCTCTATCTCTCTCAAAACTAGCTCAGTTGTTTTTGATTATGTGCAATGAGTTTTGATTCAGACACTATTAGATACCACACTCTGGAGCAAGAGCTACAACGCTGTCGTTGGTGTTCTTGTCTATTCCATGGGATGACCCACAGTACAGGTGAGAGAGCTTGATAATGAGATACATTTAGATAATAAGATGCATTATAATAACTGAGATCCTGTGTGTGGAGCTCAAGACAGACTCATTTTCAATAAATTCCTAGTATCTTAATATATAGTAATAAATTGATATTGACTTATACTGATAAACCAGCCTGTTTAGCTATTTTTTTCAGAAAGCCATACAAGATACATGCACCCCAATGTTCACAGCAGAACTATTTACAATAGCCAAGACATGGAAACAACCTAAATGTCCATCGACATATGACTGGATAAAGAAGTTGTGGAACACAATGGAATACTACTCAGCCAAACATATAATAAAATAATACCATTTGCAGGCAACATGGATGGAACTAGAGAATGTCATTCTAAGTGAAGTAAGTCAGAAAGAGAAAGAAAAATACCATATGATATCACTCATATGTGGAATTAAAAAAAAAAAGACAAACAAACTTATTTACAAAACAGAAACAGACTCACAGACAAAGAAAACAAACTATGGTTACCAGGGGGGAAGGGGGTGGGAGTTTGAGATTTGCAGATAATAATTAATATACATATAAAAAGATAAACAAAAAGTTCATACTGTATGGCACAAGGAACTATATTCAATATCTTGTAGTAACTTATGGTGAAAAAGAATATGAAAACGAATATATGTATGTTCACGTATGACCGAAGCATTGTGCTGTACACCAGAAACTGACACAACATTGAAAACTGACTACATGTCAATAAAAATATATATTAAAAAAAGAAAGTCATACAATACTACATACACTTCAAAACTCATATTCAGATTTACTTGTCTATAATGAGCCTAAAATAATAAGGTTTTTTAATATTGACAAATTACTCATCTCAATGACATTCTAAATAATGAAATAATTTTGAGATTATGAACTTTGAAATTATTAAAAAAGAAAACAGCCATTTGAACTTATATAAGCTATTTTGGTAAATGTAAAGGCACCAGGTAACATAAAGATTTATGCCTAAAATGTACTAAACATCAAATACCTATTAAAATGAAATATTTATGCAAATAGAATAATACTGAATAAATTACTACTTAAAGAGAGCCTGTTATGTGCCAGGAACTGTGCTAAGAATTTTTCACGTATTAGGTCATCTGATCCTCTCCCAAATCCTATGAGGTAATTATCATGCCTAAATTACTTGGACTTAAATGACTTTCTCAAAGTCCCACAGCCAGTAAGAGGCAGAAGTGCTATTTAAACCTAGTTTGACTGTTAACTATGACAGCATAGTCTGAATGAGAAAAGTAGACTGAACTAAAACTTCTGAAGAGGAGAACTTTGGAAGCTCTTTGGAAGTTTGGGAAATTTCATGAAACCAAGGTAAATGCACAGTCAATTCCTAAACAATCTTTAAAAAAAATTATTAATGATTCTTACCGGGGGTTAGAAGGAGAAGGTGGATTCATTTCTTTCTGATAGTGACGACCCTGGTTGACAGGCTGTAAAAGACAAAACATTTGTGAGGCACTATTCAGCATAATGCTGTTTACATATACTTTCACATGCACTCTCATTACATAATTTTTCCTGAGAAACAATCTGCATGAAGGAGCTGGTTTATTTTACAAAGAGTCAAAGGCTGTTTGGGACATCCAGCAAATAACAAAGTGGTGTATGTGAGAAAGCACAGGTTATTTTAACGACCAGTCACTGGACTAGACAGCATCTATCATATAATTAAAGCTCATGTGTGAAATCTTCCTCCTTGTGTGATTTTTATGCTGTTAACATTGGTTGTTGTTTCCAGGACAAAAAACCAAAACAAGATATATTATCGTGGAACTAATGCTGTACAGCAAGTATCAGCAATAACTTGGAGACCTGGAGATATAGAATATATATATTTATATCTCAATGTTACTAAGTTCGTAAGGATAACTTCTGTTTTCTTTAATGGCATTACACATGTGAATCTTAGGTCAAGGTGGTCATTTTCCCTGAGTGTATAATAAAGCCTGAAGCATTAATTAGTTGAACTGAAAAAAGTGATGCCAATACCTAACAAAATGTGAAATCTCAATTTTCCCCTCCACAAGAAATCTTTTAAGTTATTGTTTTTCAAAACATAGCTAAATAACTACATTCCATGAAAGCCTTAAACACTTGCCTCCAATGGAAATTGATGTTTTCCCTCTGTCCTATAAAGGGAGAAAATTCCATTATATCTGATAAAATTCTCTTTTTGAACATCAGCTCAAAGTATTTTTCTTATGTAGTTAACAACCATGTAATTCTAGTATGAAAATCATTTTTAACATTCTCATTTTATTAAAAGTCAGAGTTTGGTATACATTTTTGAATTGCATTTAAAGGGCTTCAGTTACTTCCTTACCCAATGTGGTTGCCATTAAGGTTTTCTCAGCCATAATTTGGCACCACATGCTGCCCC